AAGTGGGCGATGGCCCAGTCCCTGGGAACCCCCGCCCCTCTCCCGAAGGAGTTGGAATAATCCTCCCGCTGGTTAGGATGTGAAGTTGCCGAGCCCGTAAATACTCCCCACCCTACATGTCGTGGTCGCTTGCACTTTCCTAGCCAGCCCCGCGCTCGGAGGCCGTCTCTCACCTCTCAGGATGGTCCACACTCTGCCTATGGAATGTGCGTCTCCTCAGGCCTTCTGAGACGCCTGCACTCGGAGTCTGCATCTCTCTGAACAAATCCACCTTCACTCTTTGTGTCTCTCTTGAATTGCCTCCGGTGTGAAGCCAAGGACCCTCACCTGGCTGGGCACGTCCCAGGGACTCGGCCGAGACCTGGGACACTGCCATCCTCTCGCGCCCCATCCTGTATCACAAGTACTCGTGTTTTGGCAGGGGGGAGGTCATCATTTTAAAAAGCAACTCAGATCATTCAGATGCAGGCGGTCAACGGACCTTCCTGGGATACTTCATATCAAGAACCTAGAAAATGTTAAAAATTCTTTGGCCAAAACAACTGGGAGTTTAAGTCACAATATTTCCACTTACAGTGGCTCAAGAGAAGAACTTATCACTCCAAGGGAAAGAGCAGAAACATACGTTTCCCGCAAGCAATCCTATGACATCTCTGAGGTGACTGGGGGGGTTAACAGTATTCGACTTTTCTGATAAGGAAATTAATGCAGGTTAAGTGACTCTGCAAAGGATCCTAAGTTAGTTGGGGGCAGGTCTTTTGACTTTTAAACAAAGGTCAAATACCACAGCACCCCCTCTGAGACTCCCAAAGCACCAAGCCTCTAGGAATATGTGAAAGAAAGAGCCACCCATTTCCTGATCCAGTTTTTGATCAAGTTTTCCTCATCACTGTAATCCAAGCCTCTCCACCAGCAGGCAACTCTGTCCTATAGAATGTTTGCAACTTTCCACCTTCAGGCCTTGACCGTGGGGCCTCAGGGCCACACTACTGGCAGAAAGAAAAACACGCAGTCCCCTGCGGGAAGACATCACCACGTATTTTCCCCAGCTGACAACTTCGGCATCAGCCAGGATAGACACAACCCAAGTTTGTAATTCACTTCAGGACTAGCTTGGGCCTAGAAAAATGGAAAACCAGGGGGCCCCTTAAATCCCACAAATGGTGCCTGCTCTCAGGAGAGGAAGGACACAGACGCCTCCTTCAACTTGAGAAACGTCACGGGGACTTCCGGACTCACTGTCTGCTTGGCTTTCCCGGACCTCATTGTGAGATGCTCCGGGGAGGATAAAGACGCTTTGACGTGGAAGATCACCCCATCCCACAGTCCTCCTCTCCTTTGCCCTCGAGGGAAAACCTGCCTTCTTCTTTGTGAGAAAAACCCCCACCAACCTCAGACAAGACAAAGAAACAGTTAATCAAACTGGGTTAGGAAGCCCCGGCAGAAACAATGCATCTTTTCAACTGTTGAGGATGTTAGGAACAGAGCGTTTTGTGTGCGGGCTCTGTCTCTGGCTCCTGGGTGAGAGGTGCCGTTGGCCACCAGACACTAGTTTAATTCTACAGCTCAAAAGAACTGTGTTCCTTGGCCAAAACCTGACTGTTTTGTGAACTACAAAAAATGGTTTATGAAAATCACCAGAAATATTCTTAAAGTAATAATGATGGTGACGATGAAGACGATGATAAGGAGATGAAGGTGAAGATCCTCAATCGCCACCAGGGACAAGTGAGCTGGCGTTCTGGCCTCTTCCTGTCAGGGTGCTAATCCCCTTCATGACCTGATTACCTCCCCAAGACCCCACCTCCACATTGGGGGTCAGGGCTTCACCATCTGAATTTGAGGGTGACGCAAATGCCCAGTCCACAGCACCAGCCAAAAACCAATGGGATGGACGCGGCTGGGCCATATTGTCAGTTTCCCCCAAAGAAGCACCTCCCGTCACTGATCACCCCCTTTCTTTACAACGGTACCTCATCCCCCGGAGGCGGCAGAACCTTCCAGAGACGTCAGGCTAGTTTCAGCCACTCTCCACCCAAGTGATTCTTCATAAGTGTTAAAAAAATTTTTTTAAATACTTCACCACCACTTTTCAAAGAATGAACACACCACTGGGGTGCAGACACCAGTGAGAGTATCAAGTTGGTCCCAGCGTTATTTTAGGACATCCTGTGCCCCGGCAAGAGGCCCGCCTTGGAGCAAAACCAGGGATGAGAAACAGCCCTTTAAACCCAGACAGATTTCCCACCTGGCGGCACCGTGACATGAAACCACATTAACGTCTCTTTCCGCGTCTAACGGGAACCCAGTCTTGGCCAGCAGCGGCTGACTCCAGAACATCCCTTGCCTCATGGAAACAGGCCAACCAACAACAAAGTTGAAACATCATGGTTTATGTTAAAAAAAAGTTTTCCTACCCAAGTGAAATGTGATTTAATACTATAATTTCTTAACTTTTGGATGGTGGGAAGAGCTCATGAGATTTCTCTGAAAAGTCCCCAACTGTGGAAACTGCACCATTAAGCTGAGCCTTGGAGCCACACAGGCCAGGGTGGGACTCAGAGAGTGAGAACGCCGTGTCAAGGGCTGGCTGGTAAACGTGGTCCCTCCCTACTTCCCAAGTCAACGTCGTGATGGGCTGGCGACCAGCATGACCCACACACATCTGAACGGCAGTCCCTGGTGTGGGCGTACACAGTGGGGTCACCAGAGCATCCTCTGTGGAGGACACTGGGGGGCTTTCAAAGGATGGGGCTTTGTCAGCCAGTCACCCACCAGCTGATTCCATCCCACCAGCAGCCAGTCGCCTCTAATCTAGGAAACTGTCCAGAGCAGTGGGCTGCTGTCTTCACTGTCCCACACAAAAAACTCCCCAAGTGAAATATGCATCGGGCCACAACCACCCTTGACCAGAAGGAAGAGACCACGAAGAAGATTTTCTAGGCACAACACCCACTGTGAATACTTTCCTTGTTCCAAAACAGAACTGACTCTTGAAGTGTGCAAAGTATCTCTGCTGGGAAAGGCTCGTTTTGCTCCACCACAAGCTTCCTGACTCACCCAGGGCTCAGTGAGCTCCTCCATCACTTGGATTGGCACAGGCCTGCCTCTGAAATGTGTGATCCTGGGGTAGCAACACCAGGAGACGCCCGCAACCCCACTTCACCTTCCCATGCCTGGATCTGGCCCACAGCACCAGCAAACCTTCGACCTCGTGAGAATGTGGGTGGATGCCCCGGAGTGAACACCTAGGGGACCCAGGGCACACCCGCTTCGTACAGCCGCCCTGGGGCTCACGGGTGTGCTCACCAGAGCCTGGATCGGGGGAGAGAACCATGCAGGCCTGGGAGGGGGGTTCTGGCTGTTTGGCAGGAAAACGCAGGGTTCTGGGAACCCCGGGAGCAGACCAGAGTGGGGGTGCTGCCCTGTGCACCACGACCGCTCACGCCTTGGGGAGGAACACGAGTCCTCCCTCACCCGGGACGGCCAGCGTAACGACCTCCGAAGGAATGCACGTGTAAAGAAAAGATAAAATACAGTTTCTTCACAAACATTCTGTGTCTCCTACTACCAACCACGCGTTCTTTTATAAACCCTGAAGATTTTCCCTGTAAAGCAAATTTATATGTGTGTGTGTATGGGTGAGAGAGAGAGCGAGAGAGAGCAAGAGCGAGAGCGAGGTGTCAGGCAGCCCCTGTCGGGGTCCGAGGGCAGTGCTGGCTGCGGGCAGACCCCAGCTCAGGGGCTGTGGGGCCAGGTCTGCACTTCATTCGCAAACTGAGGACGTCTGGAACCCAGGGCTGTCGAGCTCCCCTCCAGACCCAATCCCATGGAATCCTAAGATTCAGTTTGCCAGTATTGATGGCTCAATCTCCAACACCAGACAAAGATAATAGAAAAGAAGAAACAATGAAAAAAATCCAAACAAGCAGAAAGGTCTTCAATCTCAGCCTCTCCCATTAAGAGATGAACCTCGAGCTATTCTGGGTAATTCATGATCTGGTTAATAGAGTTGTTAGCTTTATCTTTCACAGGTGACTGACTAGCAACGCATCAAAGTGTAGTAATACTCAACATCGAAACAACAAGCAAGATATAGTCACTGGGTTATGAAAGACTTAAACCATCTCCTGTTTTCCAAGGTCCGCGGACTGCACACGAGAACCATGTGTGACTAGCACAGAGGTCATTACGGGAGCGCGGACGTGCTGCGTAGGTCAGAGGATTTATGTCAACAATGTACACAGGAATTAAAATGTCAAATGCTATTTCTGTGGACTGGAATACCTCTTCCAGGTGCTCTGATCTGGTTTGTGACCGGCCTGATGCATTTCGACGGAAGCCGGCGACACCGGCCTCTCCTGGAGTTGGTTCATCCTCGCCCTGAGACACGGAAAGCCCACTCCCAAACTGCGCCACTGACCTGTCCCTTCATGTCTGGAGCGATGGGAATGGTGGGCCAGAGGGTTGAGTAGACGCCAAAAAACACCAGCCAGATGAGCATGCTTCCCCAGACGGCCAGGTGACTGAACTGCAAAGGAAGCAGACACTCAGCAGGGCCTCCGCCGCTGGGGGCCACCTGAACTCCCCGGCTCAGAATCCCTGCAGCCACGCCGCCTCCTTGAGGGAAAGGTTTCCACGACTCACCATCATTGCAGAGTTTGATCTAATGTTCTCCTCTCGGAATGTTTAACAATGAATTCAAGTAACTGGTGGCCCCAAATGACCCTGAAGCTGAACGTGCCTGTCGCACCTCCACCCACCTCCCCGCAGACCCATCCCGTGGTGTGGGCGGGCCTGCTCCCTCCCTCCCCAGCACGCACTCTGGTGGAACAAGTCTTGTTAGCCTAGTGAGAGGGTGCTGGACAGACGGGACGAGCAAGGTGGGCTGATTTATCATTTTGAGACTTTGATTGTTCTTTTCAGTTTCCAAAGAACTCGTGAAAAGTCTGGAATGGATGTGGCATCTTACTGCTTTAAGCCTCTACTGAGTGAGGAATCTTTTTCTTCTTCATCCTCTTAAAAGGATGAGCCTTGCCCTCCTTTCTGCACACTCCGTGATCCACTCCATCACTGATGTCCGGGAAATGTCAACTTCTGGGGACTGACTACACAAGCGATGGGACACCAATGAAACCTCATACTCATTCATCGCAGTCAACGGTTTTGTAGAAGTATATTCTCAGGTATGGAAAATGTTTATAAGATGTTTCTAAGTGAAAAAAGACGAAACTATATGCTCTTTTAAAAATTCTTTTTTCTGTTGTTTTTTTTCCTTGGTGGGGGAGTAATTTGGTTTATTGGTTTACTGATTTATTTTTACGGAGGTAATGGGGATGGAACCAGGACCTTGTGCATGCTAAGCACGTGCTCTACCCCTGAGCTATACCTTCCCTCCTGAAAACTGTATGTTCTAAAATGCACTGTCTTACTAATAAACAATACACATGTAAAATAAAGTCTGGAAGATATTACAGCAAATGTTAACAGTAAGTCTCTCCTGGTGGTAAAATTATGGAAGTTGAAAATTCTCCTTTCTGTCCTCCTATGTTTTCTGTATTTTTTTTCTTTTTACAATATGTGTCTACACTTGAAATGAGCCGTTAACAGCCTAGAGCTGTATTAAGTGCCCAGCAAATGACTGATCAGAGAACTCTGAATTGCAAATTTGCCCTGATAAAGATCCAACCACAATTTTTACATGCAAAATTTAAAATAAGATAGCCAGATACTGCTTATCACTTTCCCAAAGCTTAAAAGGACACAACACCAGAAAAAAATATCCAAAGTGGAGAGAGAAATAATTCTAGGGAAAACTTACTTTTGTCCAAGCTGTAGTCTCCAAACCAGCTTTCAGACAAACAGTAACAACAACATACTGCGAAAGGAAGAGAAATTTGGGAAACGTGTTAACCCCGTTTATTTTCACTTTCCAGAAGCAAGTCTTCCGCGGCAGCTGCACCCTGAAGGCGCCGGCCCAGTGGTGAGCTCCTGGGGGCCTGTCGCAGGAAGTGCACAGGCGGGTTACTGGGAGAAAAGCCGGCCTTTCAGCGGTCGTCTCCTCACAGCTGCCACTCCGCCCCCAGAGCTTGGAAGATTTGGGAGAAATCACCTTCCCTCGCGCTGTTTTTTCCCACAGGCACGTGTGAAATGGTCACCTGGAGGGGGACACATGCGCTGGTCACCGGCCCAGAAGCCTCAGCTCTGCACAGTCGCCAGTGCCACACAAGCTCAGCGCCGCGCGGCCGGGCCAGCTTCACGGAGCCGCACCGGGCGGTGCGGAGGCCCGAAGCCGGCGCCGCTGCGGAGGGCCTTGTGTCAGGGGACAGGGAGCACCGCTCACGGGCCATCTGAGGATGGTTCGGTAAACAGAGCGACTTACCGTATAAACAATATTCCCAACAAATAAATAGTCGGTGGCATGACCGTTGGCCAACACGGTATCTGAAAAACAGAGAAGCTACTGTGACCCTCCGGAGCAGAGCCCTGCAGTCTGCTCTACCCTGAAGGTAAAAACAGAATTTTAGAGACATTTATCAAAATGTTCAGGAACATCAAAAACCACATCGACTGTGATTCCAATGCCTCCTCCCTCTGCCTTGAATGTTTTTCATCTTCTATTTTCTCCGGAGGAAGCAAACAAACAAAATCAGGTTTCCAACACATGAAACCACCAAACACCTGATGGGGTTGAAATGTCCATTTTCATAAAGATTAAAATCTCCCTCGGTTGCTAGAAGAGGGAACAGAGTAAGAACACATCCATCTACCTCTGCGGATGCCCGTGTTATCAGCCCTCTTCCCAGTGTTCATTTCCTATTCATCTCTAATTTTTGCTACATTGAAAATTACAGGCCAATAGCAGAAGATAGCAAAATACATGATACGAAATCAGTTCACAATGACTGAACTCAGAAGAATTTTGGAGGATATCCAAATCCAAGTTCATGTTCTCTACACACGTCTATGTGAGCTTCCAGACTCTATAAAGGAAGGATGCAAACAAGCCAAGGAGAGACGCCTTGAAGACACTGCCAGGATTCTGAAGTGTTTCTCTTTTTTAAGACTTTAAGAGGTAATTGGGTTTCATTTATTCATTTCCTTTTTCTTTAATGGAGGTACTGGGGCTTGAACCCAGGACCTCATGCACGCTGAACACGTGCCCTCCCCCAGATTCTGAAGCTTTAATTTCGTATCTTTTCTACTTTTTCCTTCTTAAGGATGACTCTTACCATGTACACAGCAATCACTAAGGCAGCACTCTAACAGAATGGCCTGCTGCATGTCAGCCAGCCTGCTGGGAAAAGCCTGGTTTTGACCCTAAGGGGTCAAGGCTTGTTTTAAGATCAGAAGTGGTTTCTCTGGGTGACTCGGCCAATCTCCTTTTATTCCCTTTTATACTCAAATTAGATCTGTGGCCTGTAGACCGAGCACATGGGGGTTTCTGTGATCCAGCTTCCGACTCAGGAGCTGTCGTACACACATATTTGTGCTCACTGATTTACCCATCCGCTTGCTGAAGATCCGACTCTTATGAAAGAATCAAGACCTGTTCAGTTTTTTTAAAGTGAATGAAGGGCCGCAAATGGCAAAATGCCCTTCTTTCTTATGGGTGGGCTGTATTCCATCACATATATACGCTGTAGCTTCTTCATCCACTCATCTATTGATGTGCAGTTAGGATGCTTCCACATCTTGGCAATTATAAATAATGTTGCTGTTAACAGCAGGGTTTTGTATCTTTTTGAATTAATTCTTATTTTGTGGTTGGCTTTATTCTTTTGATAACTACATAAGTTTAAAAGCTAAAGCTCTAAACGTTTTTAGAAACAATGAACAGTACATATATGTAACTTTTAAAAATATGTGCAGTATATGGTGTATATGTTTTTACATGTAATATATTGTATATGTGCAGTCAAACTGTAATAATTCTACCTAATAAAACTGAAAACTTTAAAAAAAGGAAAAAAAAATAACACTGAGTAGATCACAAGAAGAACAAAAAAGACCTATTCACTTTTTTTAAAACACCAAAATGACCACGTAGCACCGCAGGCAGAATCTGGTGATGGTGGGCCCTGGGTCCAGCCGCAGGACGCACCCTTTCTCCCGATTCTAGGGAGGCAGACTGTGGGTGAGGAAAGATGAGCCCTCAAAGGGACATCCTGGGCTGCCCTGGGTCCTTTCTGCAGTGGGGGACCCACTGTGACCACAGGACGGCTTCTGACTTAAAAAAGACACATCTAGAATTTAGGAGAGACATGGTGCAGGAAGACTGAAAACTCAGGCAGGACTTCATTGAAAAGGGAGGAAGGAAAAAAATGTCCAAAAAAGTAAAGGTGAGGCTAAATTAAGCTCATGAAGGCAAAGAGTTGTTGTATTAGCAAACAGCTATTCAGAACTGTAAGCATTCACTTTTTTAGTAACTGACTTTAAGATTGTTTTAATCATAAAGATGATACTTTTAAAGAAATGCCTCAATAAAGAAACACTGAGATCAGACAGGGGGCCATTTCTTTGATGCTAACATAGGCTGCAGCTGTGACAGGGGTAACTTTATTCTTTAATTTACACGCCAGATATTTATGTAGAGTCGACTCTTTGGCCAGTGCTGCTGGGGGATCGGGGGGAACAAGGTCCCCGCCTGTGTTCAGGGAGCTCTCAGTACAGTGAGGGAGACGGAACGCAGACACACACAGACAGACACACAGTAAAACGTCAGGTGTGCCAAGCGCTGTGGAGACAACCAAGGCTGAGTAGTGGGATGGAGAGAGACGGGGCTGCTCTTTTAGATCAGGAGTTCAGGAAAAATCCTTTGAGGAGGTAACATCAGAGCAGATCTGAGGAGCTGGAGGAAGTGAGTTATATGAACAACAAGCGGAGAGGGTTCCTGACAGAGGAGTGGCTAACAGCCTGAATACAGAAGCAGTGACGGGCCCACAGACCACCACAAAGGCCGGTCTCGCCAGAGGCTCCGGGACTGTGCAGACAGTCAGAGGGGGCAGATTGATGTGGGTTGTGGCGAGGAGTTTGAATTCTTTGTTAACTGTGATAGGAAACCATTGGAAGATTCTGTGCAGAATGTGAAATGGGGTGTGTTATGTTCTTAAGGGAACAGTCCAGCTTTTATGGGAGAACAGCTCCCAGACGACCAAGAACAGAATAATAACAAATGCGAGTCCCATTTGGAAATGATTCTAACAGTCCACCCAGGAGGACGACACTGGGGCGTGTGGCGTTGTGTCCAGCGTGGTGGCCTCTAGCTGACGTTTACGCTTAAACTAATGAAGATAAAACAAAAAGTCAGTTTCTGCTTGGGGCTGGGGCAGAAGGGAGGAGGAGGAGTTGCTGCTTGCTGAACACAGAGTTTCAGTTGAGGGTGATGAAAACATTTTGGAACAGATAAGTGTGATGGCTGCACAGCATTCTGAACGTAACGCCTCTGAACTGTGCGTGTAAAATGGACACAGAAGTAAAAGTACAAAACTTCCAGGGTAAAACAGGACTAAAATCTTTATGGCCTTAGATTTGGCAGTGGTTTTTTGGCTCTGACACTGAAAGCAGAGTGACAAAAGAAAACAATAAGGTAAATTGGACTTCAGCAAAATTAGGAACTTTTGTGCTTCAAAGGGCACCATCCCGAAGGTGAAAAGACAGCCTGCAGAATGGAGAGAAACTCACAAATATTTATCTGGGAAGGAGCTGCGTCCAGAACAAAGGACTCTTGCAACTCAACAGTAAAGACAACTCAATTCGAAAATGGGGGAAGGACAGACAGAACCGAACGGATATTTCTGCAAAGAAGACACACAGTAGGGCCTAAAGAGACCCAACGTCACTAGTATCAAGGAAGCGCAAAGCCAAAAGCACCACGAGACACCGCCTGACACCCACCAGGGCGGCTACGATAAAGCAGACGGGTCCCGCCAGGAGGCGGAAGGGAGGCGGTGGGTGGGGCCACAGCCCCCATGCCCTGCCGGCAGGAGCGCACAGCGGGGCGGCCGCCTTGGAAACGGCCGGGCGGCTCCTCGGAAGGTCACGCGCAGGGACCGCGCGACCTGGCCACCTGCAGGTGCAAACCCTAGAGGGGTGAAAACATACGAACAAAACACACAAGAGCCTGCACGTGAATGCTGACAGCAGCATCTTTCACAGCAGCCACGTATCCATCAACCAGCGGACGGACACAATGTGGACCACGATTAAGAGAAATGAAGAAGTGGTGCGTGCGACTACACGGGTGAACGCCGAAAACCGCAAGCTCGGTGATGGAAACCGTCACAACAGGCCATGCACGGTCTGATCCTACCTGTGTGAACTGTCAGGAGAGGCAAGTCCAGGGACAGAAAGTGGGCAGGTGGTCGCCCGGAGCTGGGGGTTCTGGGAGAAAATGGGGAGCAGCTGCTGGTAGGTATGGAGTTGCTTTTGGGGGCAAAGAAAATGCCTGAACACTGATGAAGGTGATGGCTGCGCCAACCACGTGACTATATTAAAACCCATAGAACTGTACACTTTAAATGGGTGGACTGTGGGGTATGTAAATAATTTATCAATAAAGTTGTTATTACAGACACTCAGCTCCTCAGTCACACCTGGCCACATTTCGCTTGCTCAGGAGCACGTGTGGCGAGTCGCTGCTATCCTGGAGAGCCCAGGAACAGGACATCTCCGTCACCACCAAGGCTCTCTTGACCCCGCAGGCCAGAGGCAGAAAGAAGTGACAGAGTGTGGCACATGCTCTGAAAGAGCAATGACAGGCTTTGTTTTGGATTTGATGGGCGTGAAAAAGATCGTGAGGAATCAGAGGAGAGGTCCAGATTGCCGGTCTGAGTCACCAGGTCAGTGGCGGTCCCATTTCCTTGGCTGTACTAACACGGGAACCCTGATGAAAAGAGTGGGCAAGTGAGAGCTTGGTGCCATGCGATCAGCGTCCTGACTTACCAACAGGGAGGAGAGAGAGCAGGGAAGCGTGATGCTATTACGGAGAAGCGAAAGGACGTTTGGGAAAACGAGGTGGAGAGAAAGAGCTGGGTTAGGAGAAGGTACGCCCAGTCGTGGGAACGAGAAGACTCGCGCCAGTGCCACTGTTACAGTACTTTGAAATCTGAGGCTCCGGGACTCAGTTTCCACACCTCTAAGACAGGGGTGTTATATCAGATACAGACGATGAGGACTGAATTATCACTAAGGCTCCTTTCACACAGAAAATTCTAAGACGCTAAGGTCCATGTCCTTGCCTGCTGACTCAGCCGCAGGCATTAAATGGTAGAACCTGAGGGTTTCAGGGCTTCCTCCTGTTCATTTTAGCTCAGAATGCACTTCCAAGAGTCAGTTCCACCCTGTGGGTCCATGAATGGAGAACAGGGTTTTGACTGAGCAGAGCAATGATCTGAAGTTCATTCAGCCCTAACGGAGTCCAGAGAAAACGCTGATCGGATGGA